TGTCCTTGTAAATATGAGAAAAGGGGGAAAGCAAAATGGTTTTAAGAAAAACAAACCCCTAGGCTTTTTGAAAAAAAAAGCCTCATCTGTATCTGAGTATATTCAAACTTTTTTAATGCATGAAGGAATGGGACTTGTAGATCTTTACTGAAATTAGAATGAGGTCAGAGAACCAGTGTGGTATAGAGGTATGAGTGTTGGACTAGGACTCTGGGAGACCAGGGTTTGACTCTGCTCAGCCATGGAAACCCACTGGATAACTTTGGCAAGATCAAATCCCCACAAACAAATTATGCCAAGAAAACCTTGTGATAGGTCCCCCTTAAAGTTGCAATTGGTCAGAAATGACTTGAAGGTATACAACAGCAACAGCAGCAGCAGCAGCAACAGCAACAGCAACAGCAACAGAGTAACTATCTATTTGAGAGATACATGCTATTATGACATGGTACCACATGTTTATCTTGACCAGATGGCATATGGCAACAGCTGGACAATAAGCAGGGCTTGGAAGAAGCGAAATTATAAATCTTGCTTTTACTCTGGAGTTTAGGGAGGTCAAGATTTGAAAGTTGGGTAGACACATTTACAGAGTGCTGAGCTGAATTACCAGATTTATTCAGGAATTTTGCACTCTGAAATATAATTGGAGTATACAAGCTACCATGCTATTTCTTTTACCATTACTACCACTTCTGTTGCTGTCACCTAGTTTGTAAGATACTTACATTTCATCATAATAGTGGCATTTTGGTACAGCGGGAGAACTGGAAGTAGGGCATGAGTCAGAGGACAAACCTAACATATACATTTCATGTGAAATATTCTGAATGTAAAGGAAGTCACCTATATCTTGTGAATGGCAAAACTATTGTGGACAGTTCCAAATTTCTTTTTAAAAAATTATGCCTGAGCTGCTACAGAAGTAGACTCTACTCCAGCTTCTCTTGAAATTAACTCTAGTTCCGTTTTCCCCAACTTGGAACTGTCCTGAAGAGTTGGCTCTTCGTATCCATGGGGGTTCCATGCTGGATCCCCTATTGATAGCAAAATCTGTGGGACCTAAAGTCCTGTTCTTGACAGCAGTGGTGTGACATGTGTGCAACCACATTGGTGCAGCAGCATGTGCATTGGGGAGAATGTGGTGGGGCCATCCACGGATGCTCAAATCTGCTGATGGCAAGCCCGTGGAAGAGGAGATCTGACTGTATTTTCATAATCATGAGACTGATGCACTTGTTTCCACCACACTCTCCTCCTTACTTCCCCTTACTCCCGCTTCCCTGCCCTGTGCTGTACTCAGCATGCCTTTTGGTTTTTAAATTGTATTTTTATTTATTTTTCTTTTAACTTTTTCATGCAGTTTCGTAGCTCTGCTACTGTTATGCAAGTTAAAAAGAAAGAAAGAAAAAAATACAAAAATATTTAAAGGCAATCTGGCTGCTTGGGAGTAGCGATTGAGAGGGGGGACAGAGGGAGAGGAAGAAACTGTGATACCATGTGACTGAAAATAATGCAACTGCCCCAGCAGCAATGTTTCAGACCTGGAGACTAGCGCAATTGGGAGGTCCTTGACAGGTTTCCCCATCAATGAAAAGAGATACAGCAGCTACTGATCAGAGCCGTTGTGTTGCAATAAGTATCGCCAAAGTTGCTTTTTTTCCAGGTCTAATAATGGTTTAAAAGTCATGTATAGTAATCTCCTTGGGCCTTTGCAGACTGCCAGAAATAGTGCACATTAAAT